CTTTAAATCCACGATAACGTGCGGAAAATTCATCTAGTATAGGATATCTACTAGCCCTGTTCATGGGCTGGTTTGACTACACATGTGCACCGTGCACGCATGAATCTTTGCAGCAGAAAGGATATATATATATATATATATATATATATATATATATATATATATATATATATATATATATATATATATATATATATATTTATATATATATATATATATATGTCCCTCTAATACTCTTGTGTTCTTGATAGATAGATATTTACATAATTGCTGGATCTATCCAGGTCGCAAGAAAGAATTGAATACTCAGAAGAATTGCTACTGCAATCTTTTAGCTGGGTCAAATGTTTACCTTTCACAAATACAAACGAAAATACCATGTTTAATTATTTGACCACTCATAAATCCGGGAACTAAACATCTCCCAAGAGAGTTTCAATCCACATTTTCCATCGTGAGCTGTCGCTGTTATTATGTCTACTGCAGCGGGGTGAGCGTCGACGTGATTGGACAGCAAAGGAAACTACCGCAGTCTGTTGTCTCGTAGCGCAGCAGCCACGAGCAGAGACCTGAAAACTAGGGCACGTTCGCTTATCTCAATTTTGGAGAAATTTAAATGATTTATAGGAATGATAGAGGAATTTATAAGAAAAAATTATTATTCTGAATAAAAAAATAAATGAATAAGCCGAGTTCAAGGCACGAGAACGGCGCCTAAGAAAGCAACTCGCCGATATAGCACACACAAAAAAATAATCGAAGTTGACCGGGCACCGGAAGGTACAAGACAGACAAGACAGACAGAAGACCAAGCACTGGAGAAATTAACAGAGTCTAGTTCACACCCACCGGAAGAATCTCCGAGTGGGTTCACAACCACATGAACGAACGACCAGGCTCTCTCAGAAATTTCACAACTTAACCAAATCGAATATGATTAAGCTGAGATTTTTAGCCATGACCTCATAACATCATGTGCTATTATATCCATAGCTACCATAAGCACCGTACCCCGAAAGATTGAGTTTTTAGCACGAATTTCAGAAACCAAAGAAAAACCTAAAGAAAGGGGAGAGAACTACTTTGGGTGAAATCCAAAATTCGTGGTGTTCAAGAGGAAAAATCAAGGGATTGAAGATATAGGTATCTCGTCACATGTTCTAGCACTGATTTTCTTCAATAATCCCAACCAAAATCGCTGTAAAAAAACGAAGAACGAATTTCCACTAAAATAGCCTGAAAATAAAGGAAAAAGAAAAATGGGAGGGAGACCAATTTCTCAAATAAACTTGATTAACCAACTATAAGTCCATCTAAACAAGATAGGTCTAGCCTCCTTCCATCATTCTCCCACTAAGAAATTGAAAAACTAGAGCAAGAGGTAATTAACTCTCTCTATGACCCTAGCCTCTCTCCCTTTTAATAATAACTTGGGCTAAACCTATAGCAAATGAGATTAGGGTTTCAAGGATAGCTCTATCACTAGCCATATACCTCACTTATTGGCATTTGGACAAATCCCAAACTGCCCCTAAGTTAACACTAAGCCTACTAACCCACATAGGGGTGATATAGTCCATACTACATAAAATGCACCTGTTGCACATCTGACGACCATGATTCATCCTCTCCTTCACTTAGCTCTCGACATTAACTCGGAGATGTGTCCATGTGCCGCCCAAAATCCTCCCCAAGTTTTGAGGTCCAAAACTGGCAAACCTATCGCCCACGGGTTTGGCGGTTTGAGGCTGAAACCGCCAAACCCATTCGAGTCACATCGCCGCTATGCCTTCTCCACTATGTTGATGCGTGTCCCGCTCATCCTCGACTGGCCAATCACCAAGTGCTCGCACACCATCGTAACTTGGTCTACTGCCCGTCTTGACTTCGATCAACACCGTCTCCATCACCATCCTTGCATGCACACTTGCATGTTGACATGCCCAAGTGCTAGCCGTCCAAGGTCCATCCTCCGACCCTCGGTTCCTTAGTCCAAGCCTTCGCGTCCACCCTTCACCTGCTCCCAATCCATCGTGCATGAACTCCTTGCTTGACCTTCCCCATTACCATCGACCGTCATGATGTGCTCAATACCTACACATCCACAAGCCATGATACATATTGCACACACTAACTCACACCTCGATTCGCCCCCCCACACACTTAACAAAGCTATGATCATCTCTTGATAATCACTCATCACTAATAACATGGGCACATATCAACCATGTGTTTTCAAATCTCAATTCAAGGGAAAGCGTTCAAGTAGGCATTGCATTGGACTATTGGTCACTGTTTTACAATATAGTGTTATTGAAATCACTAGTTGGCAAATGATTTTGTAATGTTGGTTAAAATTTATTTCTAATTGTGATAATTTTGACCGTTGGTGTGAAAAGCCAATACAAATAGAGCATTCCTACTAGCGGTTGGCTGTGATGACCATACAAATGCACACTATGTCAGAACCTTTTTTAGAGACGCTAAAAAGTCTTTAGGGGCAGCTGAAAGAACTACCTCTATTCATCGATTTCTAGAGGTGGGCCAAAATCCTATCGCCCCGAGAATCAATTTCTAGGGGTGGTCGACGTGGTTTCCCACCTATAGAAATGGCTTTACAAATCTCATAGAAAATAGCAGGAAATGGTGCCTCTATAATTGGGTCACTAGCATGTAGAGGATCTCGTTCCATAGGAGAAGCCCACTAGGCAACCCACGGTTGGAAGTCACAATAAAATGATTTTTGCACAAAATATGCATGCAAACGTGCAGTTGTGGATATAGTTGGCCATTTGGCCCGGGCACTACGGGTCGGCCCAAGCATGGCACTAATTAGCACCGCCTAGGAACGGCCCGGCCCGACGGCCTTCGTGCCAGTGCCTGGCATGGCCCGGCCTTAGTGCCGTGCTTGGGCCGCTATTCTGGCCCGTAGTGCCGCCCCAAGCACGGCACGCTATATGGGCCGGCCCGGCAGCGGCACGGCTCGACCGCAGGTGGTCGTTGGATCCCCGGCCTCGCTCCCATCGGACCGTTGGATCCAGCCGTTAGAATAGGGGGTATAAAACCGCCCGTCCCGGCTGGCCGGCCGCGTCTCCGTTACCCTAATTCATTTGCTCTCACTCTCTGTCTCTCTCGCCTTGCTCTCGGCTCTCCTTTCTCGGCTCTCCCCACAGCGTCGTCTCGCCCGCTCCTCTCTCAACTCGCTCTCCTCTCTCGGCGAGTCGGCGTCGGCGACTCGCTCTCCTCTCTCGCCTCTGACTTCCTCTCTTCTTCTCGCTCTCTGGTGGCCTCTGGACCCACCGCTGGCCGACACGGGCACAATCCCTAACCCTAACCCTTGATCTCGCTTCGTCCTCGCTGGATCCGTCGTCGGCCTCGCCGGATCCATCGGTTTCCTGGCCGGATCAGTCGGTTTCCTCACCGGATTCGTCGGTTTCCTTGCCGGATTCGTCGTCGACCTCGTCGGATCCGTCGGTTTCCTGGCCGGATCCTTCGGTTTCCTCGCCGGATCCATCCCTCGTCATCTGTGCTCGCCGGATCCGTGCCTCGTCGACCTCGCCGGTGACTCTGGTGCTCCAGCTTTGAAGGTAAGTCACCGTCGACCTAACCCTTGCTCAATCCCTAACCCTAACCCTCAATCTCTACTAACCCTTGCTCTGTTTTGTCTGAAGCCGTTGAGGGACCGGGGCGCCGATGAGTGGCGATGGCTGGATCCCTAACCCTAACCCTTGTTCTCTGCCTGTGTTTGTGTGATTATGTGACTTTGAGTCTTTGATAGGTTCTGTGAACATGTAACTTTGAGTCTTTGATAAGTTCTCTAAACTTGTAACATAAGATTGAGTTGATGAAATGTTTGAGGTGTTTGATATTCTGATCAGTTTGAGGTGATTGAGATGATGAACTTGTCCCTGATATTCTGATCAGTTTGAGGTGTTTGATCACTTATAGTGCCAGTGTCGGCACGGGCACTGCTGGGCCGTCGTGCCCAGTGACACGGCACAACATGGCTAAGACCTGATAGTGCCGTGCCTGGGCCTGCACCTTGGCACGGCGGCACTAACAGGCATGTCATGGCTAGTCTACCGTGCCGCGTAGTGCCGTGCTTAGCCGGGCCGTGCCTGGCCGTGCCCGTGCTAGTGCCGTGCCGGGCGGCCCGTTTGGCCAACTATAGTTGTGGAGGATCAAACTTGGGGCATGAGGTCTACATTCTCCTCTACCACTTCACCCCAAAGGCAAAGTCACTTGTGACCAAGCGAATGATACTTACGTGGATCTTATAATGCCTATTTGAGCCCATCAATGATTTCAGATAAGAAAGTTTGAGCCACAAAGTTTTAGATATAACCGTGAACTATAACTTTGTTTTAGGGCGCATATTCATTCAAACATTTATGTTATCATCTATTACGGTTTTCTGTCTTCCTGCTTCAAATTTTCTTATTGACATATAGATCCTTCCAGTAACCACTAGGGTTGTGTGTTCTTATTTTTCTACTACAAAAACAATTTTAGGAGGCCCTCGCTGATTCATAGAGGCGGTTAAAAGTATCCCTGTCTCCATAAATACATGTCAATTTTCAGACCGGTAACCCTATTTACGACGTCACCTAATAAAATACCGTCCTTGAAAACATTACTAGAGGATGCCCTTTTAAAAGGCCCATCTTTGAAAATGAGGACCATTTTTGGAGATGGGATCTCTTTGAGGTCAGCACACTAAATTGTCACCCGGCGACCGGCCGACCCATCTAGGCCCGCTACTAATCTCTGCTATATATATAAAGAATGTGAGAAACCCTACCCACCCTCTGCCACACCCCCTCACCCATCTCTCTCCCATTCTCACCATCCATACTCCCTATAGTGCCGGTGCATGATCCCCTTCCCCCTTCTAATGCCAGCTAGTGGGCCCCACACCTACTAGTGGCGACTTGCAAAGCAGGAAGGCACCGATGGTCTGGACTGCCATCACCACGAGGATGAGGTAGATCCAGTCGGCCATGGGGGCATGGACTCCATGGAGGCCTTGCGAACCCCTCTCCATTCAGTGGCATCAACGACAGGACACAGTCCTAGCCCTAGCTACTCGTGGCAATTCGAGGTGGAGGAAGACATTGGTGCCCAGGACCTACCACCACAAAGAGAATGAGGTAGATCTTGCTAAGCATGGGAGACAGGGATTCCATGGAAAGCGCATGAGCCCTCTCTCCTTCATCGGCGGTGCGTGGGCCCCCTCCCTCTTTCAGCTTAGGAATATCCCTAACAGGCCCATTTTTTTTATTTTTTCTCGGATTTTCAAAGGCAGACATGAACCATCGCCTCTATTATGGCCCCGATCGGCTTACCTTATAAACCGCACTATTCAGCTTGTTTTTTAGCCGGAACATTGTTTTTCTCTCACAACAATTCAGCAAGAACAGTGTTTTTTAGCCAATTCAGCCAAGTTTCAGCAAGCTGAACGGGCCTATATCTGATTAACAAAGATCATACCATAGAGCTGGGCGAGATCATCCTGTCTCTGGAAATCCTTGTTGACCGTCTCTGAAAATACATCTTGTATTTCTCGTATTGGTATATTTGATTAACCGTGTGTTGGTAACTATGGCAATAGCCACACTTATTTTTAAATAATAGAAAAAAGTTTTGTCTTTCAAACATCGTCATCTTCGGTGGAAGCCAGGTATAGTGAAAGCAATCTCTACCGAAAAGACTTATGTATCTTGTTTCGTTCCACTAATTGCTGGTCAATATACTCCTTTAGGCCTCGTTCGGTTACGCTGGAATGGGCCTACGAACCATTTCAGATGATCAATGTTATACAAATTAGTGAACCATTCTAGCTGGGAATCGTTCCTAGATAACCGAACAGGGCCTTATGCAGGTCGGCAACATGGTGCCTGGTTTGAAATAGGTATCTTTTTCCATGACAACTCTAGAAATGATATGCGCAAGTCGGCAATGGATACTGTTCTACAATGGATATTATCCAATATATAATTGGATTTTGCAAACAGTCCACATTATCATTTTGCCATGCATGCATATACGCCATAAAGTTGTTGGGACATTGGACCCATTGCTTCATGATGTGTGGAAATGGTGGTATTGGCTAAGAAAAAGGGTTCCATGAACATGACATGACCTCTTAATTCTCGGCACGCCTCCGTGCAGATAACAAGTTGACAAGAAGGAAACACAACGCCTATAAATATGGCCCTGCGCCTCCTCCACTGATGGGTGCACGGCAGCGCTACTGCTCGCTTCAAGACACAAAGAAGCAGAAGCAGAGCTCGTCTCAAAATCTCGGTCAGCCATGACCAACGGCTACCTGTTCCGGGAATACATCGGCGCGCAGTTCACCGCCGTGCAGTTCTCCGAGGTGCCCATCAACGCCTTCGGCAGCTTCCACTTCATCCTCTCCTTCGCCATCGACTACACGTCCGTGGGGCAGCAGCCCAAGCCAGTGCCGACCAACGGCGTGTGTCAGCCCGTTCTGGGACACGGGCAACCTGACCCCCGCCGCCGTGGCCGCCATCAAGGCCGCGCACCCGAACGTCGCCGTCATGGCGGGGCTCGGCGACGACAGTGTGCAGGACATCGTGAAGGCCGTCTTCACCCCGAAGTCGATCGACTCGTGGGTGGCCAACGCGGTGACGTCGCTCACGGGCATCATCAACACGTACGGGCTGGACGGCGTGGACGTGGACTACGAGCACTTCACCGACGGCGTCGCCGTGAACACGTTCGTGGAGTGCATTGGCCGCCTCCTGACGCAGCTCAAGAAGAAGATGCCGTACATCACCACCTCCATCGCGCCGTTCGAGGACCCGGTGATCCAGAAGTACTACCAGCCGCTGTGGCGCAAGTACTCCGGCGTCATTGACTACGTCAACTTCCAGTTCTACGGCTACGTCGACAACACCGACGTGCCCACGTACGTGCAGTTCTACAACAAGCAGTCGGCGAACTACCCCAGCGGCAAGGTCCTCGCCAGCTTCATGACCGGCAACACGACCGGCCTGATCTCGCCGGACCTAGGCATCAGCGCGGCCAAAGAGCTGCAGAGGCAGAACAAGCTGCCCGGGCTCTTCATCTGGTCAGCGGACAGCTCCAAGCAGAGCAGCTACGGCTTCAAGTACGAGATCCAGGGGCAGCAGATCATCGCAAACCATTGATCTCTGATTGGACGCTGCTACGAACACGCAGACGCGAGAATCACTCAAATCGGAGTTAACACGGAGAAGTTAGAAATTAAACAAGATTTCCCTTAGTAAAATAATAGATTAAATCTAACCTCGAATTTTAAAAGTTGAAAACATACTTAACAGTAGTATGAACATGTAGATTATGGAATTACGAACCTTACGCAAGTTGAACGGATCAAATCGGAGTTAAAACGAAGATTTTATGGCCTACAGAAGGTAGTGCCAGTTTTGTAAATATATGTAACTTGATTTTCGAATTTAAAATATTTAAAATCTGATTTTAAACTGAACCAGGGACTGTGGATACAATTTGAAGAAAAGGCAGGGGTTCTTTAACAAAAGTTTAGAGATGGTGGGTTAAGATCCAAATAATTGTAAGGGCCTTTTCGCAAAAACAGCAGGCGAAGGGGTATCTTAAGATGCGGACCGTTGGATTGGGATTGGACGGCGCGGATTGGATCGGGCGGGGGGAGAGAGAGAGTGCTGTCGCCGGCGTTGACAGGGACGGCGGCGCCATGGCCGGAATTGGCCGGTGCTCGTCGATACGACAGCTCTGACCACTATCAGGCACGGAAAAGGACGGGAAACAATAGGAAGGCACCGCGAAGCCATCTACGGGATCATTAGGGACTACGACGGCACGGGGACGAGCTAGAGCTCAATATGGCGGATCGGGTTCGCCGGAGATCAACGGTGATGCGGATACAAGCACAAAAGGCAAGGGAGAGGGCATGAGAGACACCCGTAGGTTACTCACCTTCTTGCGGAGCTTGGAGATGCGGTCGCGGCGACGGAGGAGCGGCGGAGCGGCGAATCGCCCTCGGTGGCGGATCTCCCATGGCTCTGCTAGGGCTCGGAGTCGTACGGCTGGCTCGCGACTTCTATGAGGAGGCGGCGCGGGCGCGATTGCTACTTATAAGGGTGGTGAGGCTTGCGGTGCACGCACATCAGGGCGGAGTCAGGGTGAGCGCGGACTCCCGGCCGGAGTCATGGCCGGCTCAGACATGAGCACGAGGTGGAAGACACGCGGCTGATAAGTGGGCCCGGGTTGTCTGCGACAGGCGAGAGGGGAAAGGGCTCGGGCGACTGCGCTGGCTGCGGCTTGCTTTGCTGGGCCGCACGAGGAAACAAGGTGAGCGAGGCGGCCCAAGAGCGAGAGAGAGGCGCGGGGCCTGCGGAGAGGAAGAGCGGGTCAGCGACTGGGCCATCAGGCCGAAAGCAAGGGAGGGGAGATAAATTCTTTTTCCTTTTTCTTTTCTAATTTTCCAAACCAATTTTGAAATACAAATTCAAATCAATTCGAAGTTTGATTTCAAACCACACAATTCAAAAATAATATGCAGCAACATGAGTGCACAGACATGTATGTAGACCTATATTTGATTTTAATTTCAACAAAGTTATTATTTTTCTAAATTTCAATGCTCACAAAATGCATAATTAAATCATTTCTCCTATTTTAAAACCATGCAAATTTTAGGGTGTTACAGTGTATTGTTGTATTATTGTCAATGTGAACTTATGTTATGGATGTCATTGTAAAAAAATTATAGATTTAAAAATTTATAGAAAATATAAAAAATAAATAATGTAACATTCTCGGCCTGGTTTTCAATAAACATTTGGTAGCTTTTTTTCCCGTTGCAATGCACGGGTATATTTACTAGTATGTATAATTTATAAAGAGACTAGAATAAAATCATTTTTTTCTAAAAACATAAAAGAAAAATGACGTACCTAATCTTCAATAGAAATATGATATGGGCCACCGCTCGCTAGGAAGAAATTTGAAAGTAAAACAATACTGACCAACAGTCCAACAGCAGCCAAAAGCAGCCCACATACATCACCTAGCCCACCTACGGTACATCCACTTGGCTAACCGCGACGAGAGGTGCTCGACAGGTCTCATAATTATCACATAATTTTCAAAAAAAAAGGAATTTGTCAAAAAAATTCTTGTTGAATAATGCCAAATCAAATCAAAAAAATAAATCTTATGCTATTCATTAAATAGATGATTTCTTTTCTTCATTTATTTTATTTCATTTTTTATTTATTTTATTTCATTTTTTATTTATTAGAGTAAAAGAAACAGTATATTGATAAAGACACTGTATTCGAAAGTCAAAAGAGCCCTCAAAGTGTTAGTTTAGAGTTGTACCATCATCAATAGATCCGAAAGTTTCAAAATATATTTTTAGCTATATAAAGTTATGATAGGTCTTATATAGATCTAAACGGCCATCTACACAACGCAATATCTTATTATATTGCATGAATCTGATAAATGAGGCCTGCGTGTTAACGGCAAGACTCCGCCTTAGAAAAATTAAATCTATTTCATGTATCTTGGATTAAGATGATTTTTAAAATTATAGCTCTCAATGAAATCTACAACTTTTCTAGTTACGTGTTTCCATTTGAGATCATTAAGATGCTCAAAAAGGTAATATACAGCAGCATATTGATCGTGTACCATAGCTTTTCGTTTTTGAAAAACCATACCTTTCTTGTATGGTGTCAGATAAAAATATTTTAAGTGTGAATTGTAGCTCTCATAAACTCTACAAATTTCTAGTTTTGTGTTTTATCATTTGAGATTGTTTAGATGCTCCAAAAATGATATAAAGTTTGAGCAACATATTAATCGTGTACCAGGGCTTATCATCTTAGAAAAATCGTATCATTCTTGAATGGTGTCGGATAAAGACACTTTATGAAAATTGTAGCACTCATAAACTACAAATTTTAAATTGTTAAAACGCTCAAAAAAGTAATATAAAGTTCGAGCAGCATATGAATCACGTACCAGAGTTTGTTGTATTAAAAAAATCATATTTTTTCTATAGTGTCGGATAAATATTTACTTTTTATATAAAAATTGTACTTGTCGATGAGATCTACCGATTCCTAGCGATGCTCGTGAGCCAGCCGTACGACTCCCAGCCCGTACGTGTTGATGATGCCCGTGAGCGACGCCACGGCGTTGGCCACCCACGAGTCGACGGAGGTCGGGGTGAAGAAGACCTTGACGATCACCTGCACGCTGTCGCCGCCGAGCCCCGCCATGACGGCGTGGACGTGGACTACGAGCACTTCACCGACGGCGTCGCCGTGAACACGTTCGTGGAGTGCATCGGCGGCCTCCTGACGCAGCTCAAGAAGAAGATGCCGTACATCACCACCTCCATCGCACCGTTCGTGGACCCGGTGATCCAGAAGTACTACCAGCCGCTGTGGCGCAAGTGCTCCGGCGTCATCGACTACGTCAACTTCCAGTTCTGCGGCTACGTCGACAACACCGACGTGCCCACGTACGTGCAGTTCTACAACAAGCAGTCGGCGAACTACCCCAGCGGCAAGGTCCTCGCCAGCTTCATGACCGGCAACACGACCGGCCTGATCTCGCCGTACCTCGGCATCAGCCCGGCCAAAGAGCTGCTGAGGCAGAACAAGCTGCCGGGGCTCTTCATCTGGTCAGCGGACAGCTCCAAGCAGAGCAGCTACGGCTTCAAGTACGAGATCCAGGGGCAGCAGATCATCGCAAACCATTGATCTCTGATCGGACACTGCCCTCCAACTGCTCCAGCAAGGAATTCGAACGTGGCTACGTGTTTTACTGTGTCCTTAATGATTATGATATGAACGAATGAATAAATAAACGAACACAAAGAATCCACATGTGGACATGTGGTTGTGGTTCCAACAACATAAAACCTCTCGTCATCTCCATGCCATTTTGATTTTTGATGGACACTTCATTTTCTTGAAGGCCCTGTTTAGTTCCCGGGAATTGAAAGGAATTGAAAAATAATCTAATAGTAAATTGAGAAGCACACATTTTAGATATTGGTTTCAATTCGTATGATCAAAACAGGCCCTAATACCTTTTTAACTTTTGCTATTTATCTGTTGATAGATATATTTTGTTACTAAATCTGTCAGATTTCTATATGTATGATTGTGTCGGGTATCAGTATCAGGGATACCCGGAAGAAGGAAGTTAATGGCCGCGAACGCTAACTCTCTCGGATGGTCAAAAGTGTATCTTGGTCTCGCCCGGCCCTGAGGGCAGGGCTCCGTCTCGCTCGACCTCATGGACGCGGGATCCGGGTCACCCGACCCCAAGGGCGCGGGCTCTGTCTCGCCTGACCCCTCGGGCGAGAGCCCCATCACGTCCGACCCGAGGGCGCGGACTCCGCCTCGCCTGATCCCGAGAGCGCGGGCTCCGCCTCGCTCAACCCCTCGGGCGCGGGCTCCGCCTCGCCTGACGGAGGTCTGTACCCCCAACCACTACGGGTCTAAAAGTACGAGTCCAGGGTCAAACTTCTGATGCCAGAAGGGGAGCAGGCACGTCTAGACGTGACCCGTGGCCACTACGGGCCACGTTTGAGGACGCACGTCGCCAACAACATCTGGCGTGTTGGCGCTATGCTATCTACTCCCTGTACGGCCTCCAGTGGAGGCGTCAACGAGCCATACCGTCCGCTGGGACGGGATGGAGCGCCATGACCGGCTGACGACACCCGCGTACGGCGCTAGTGACGAACAGGGCCACGACGTGGAGCCATCCCCGTCGTCATCTACAGGGCCAGCGGGACCCGCGTAAAGGAGATGTAAGACGTCGCAATCCCGGAAGCCTTCCTCTCCTCGTCTCTCTCTCTGAGGAACCTGCATCTTCCTCTTCATCTATAAAAGAGGAAGCAGGGCGCCCCACGGGAAAGGGGTCGGCATTCCCACACATCTAACACGTCTGAGCAGCTGAAGGCTTAGGTGCTCGACAAGAGAGAGAGAGAGAGCTCAACTAGACTCACTCTTTTCATCAAAGACTTGGGGCCTTCTTCCTCTCTCGCCTATTTGTAACCCCTACTACAAACCAAGTATCGGTAACACGAGCAGCAATAGACTGGACATAGGGACGTTCCGCCTGAACTAGTATAAATCCTTGTGTCCTTCGAGCACAGCCA